TTCTCCTTACAATATCAATACAATATCAACTAGATAAGTGATGAGAATAAAGAATATTAATTTGAGGATAATTACTTGATCTGATACTTAATTCTCTGAACTAACATTACAAGAATGGTATGGTTGACAGTAAGGAGAATTACAAATTTGATCTGGGAGTTAAAGGGTTAAGGTGAATGATATCTAATATTTCTTTTCAGGTGAACCATGGAAGTATTTTACTTCATATGATTTGGCATTGTTCCTCCTGATTCCTGCTCTTATAATTTTCTTTCTTGTTCTGCGCAAAGAGTATCTCAGACTGGATCAGGTAAGAATAACTATATCAGGATTGTGTTTATTTTTTTCCTTGTGTGTTGAAGTTGTTTGCAGAGGTCTCAAGGGCTGGGGGGCCAAGCTTAGCCTCAGATACATTTGACTTGGAGCACAAGCGTATATCTTTTCCTTGGTGCTTGCTACAGATCTTTTGTCTATAGTGTTTAGTTCTTTCAGGAGTAGTGGGCTCCTGGTTCTTGATATTAAAAAAGTGCCCAATTTTGGCAGTTACACTAATTGGTTGATGTCAAGACATGCAGGAGTTGTATATTTATTTGGGTGCCTGTCTGCATCTCAAATGCATCTGTTTCGTATATTCACAGTTGTTTTTTCGTACTTTTTTTGCATACCTGCTTCTCCACCACCCTCCCCCCCTCTTCTCTATGATAATAATACTTCAAGGTAGGGATCTGCCACAGAAAATTTTGAGGATGGAAAAAAAGATATTAATTTTATTTTGTTAGCACTTGCATTTTAACTAATAAATAACTGGTTATTAATGCTTAATTATTATGATAGAGGAATAATTTGGGTAGTGATGTTGTTGAAATATGATTTAAAGATATTTATAACGGAAGTTATTACATCATTTTGTTTTTCTTTGTTTACAGGAAGCTAAGTACAGCATGTTAGGTGCTGAAGTTGATTCTTTGTTTTCTGAATATTCACACAATTCACAGCAAAGTTAAAGGTGTTTGGATACATCTTTGAGACACCTGCCTCTGTCAGTTAAGCATTTGATAGGAAAAAACTGTTTAGTTATTCTTAACAAAAGTATTAAAAGTTGTAATGTACAATCCATCATTAGTTAGTAATGAATAAAACTTACTAGTAATGGCAACCTCTTGACAGAAGTTGAGACAGTCAGAAGGTACATTTCTAGATGCAGCAATGAATTGGAGTGTTACTCGTTAGTTTATATTAATAATGTAGAAAGGATCATAATTGATGGTTCAAAAATTGTCATAAGTAAGAAATGAATACAACTTACTAGTAATGAAAGCCAATTTACAGTAGTTGAGACAGTCAGAATGTACATTATGGATGCAGCAATGACTTGAGGTTTTATGTTTATGTCTTAGGCACTGAGAAGTTGTCTCTCAGGACCAAATTTATGTTAATGTAAGATGAAAATTAAAAAAATAGGGTGTCTTCAAAACTGGTCATATAAATTTTCAATTGATTACTTTGATGTATACCTGCAAACAAAAGTATGACTTATTGGTACATTTGTAAGAGGTCATCACTTAAATGATAACTAGCATCTAATTTTGTCTTTTGGTATCACTTCTGAATCAAACATTAAGGTTAAATTGCAAGAAAATTGAAACTATCTAATAATTTTAAATGGTCTTTATATACATGTAGAATGAATTTATAGTTTCAATGCCAGCCTATGGTAGTGTATTTTTGCCATAATGAGTTGGGGAAGATTTTCATTAAATTACCCCTTGGGCCCTGTAGAGTGACTGTCACCCCAGGATCAAACATTAAGGTCACCAGAACAAGACAATGGATCACCAACTAAAGAAGCTCTTGATTGTTAAACAAATTCTCCTTGTTAACACTTAAGGAAATCTATAGAGAACAGTATGGAGAATATGTATACTGACATTAGGGACTGTTAAGGGCAAATGAAGTGCCAGCAGTTGCGCAAAATCAGTATTTGAATGATACATTTCAAATTGAAAAATTTGTGATATTAACATTTCTTTAGCTACTAAAGTATTCAATTCTTTCTGTCGTGACAGAGAATGGGGCTATTTTTCAAAACCTTTCCTAAAACGTGGTAATTGTAGATATTAGCAATAGCATATACATTTAACATACTTTTTTTTTTTCATCACTGATAATGTTATTTTTACACTCAGAAAACTGTTAACACAATTATTATGGAATGTCATTGTGTTTCAAGGAAATAACCAAGCAGGCATCAGATGCCCTTTTTCTTGAACATTTTTGTGATTGGTCAGTTAATCATTGACTGTCAATCAAACCAATGAAAGTGTTCACAGTTTTCTGGTGTTCTTTACTTAAGGTTTGAGGCAAAATCAAAGTTGGTAATTTACGTTAGAAAACAGCAGAGAATTTTAGTCAATTATAATGTGATATCCTAGAGATACTAGACTTGAGTTGGTACTACAAAGACATGCTATAATAATTTGACAATGTTTAGTTCTCTTGTAAATAAAAATCATTTTGGATTCTGTAATAGCTGTATTGATAATAAACCAAGGGATTTGCGTGTAAACTGTTATAAAAAGAGATTTAGAGGGATGAAGGTATTGGTTCATTACAAAACAAGACCAATTGAAATTATTATTAATAATTCCATTAATATCTGAATTCTCTTGAATCTTCCGCTGTCATGAAAACTATGCCACAAGAGCTTCAACAAATGGATCACCTTCCTCTATGTGACATGTATCAATACTGGCATTTAAACGACAGCTATTGTCTGTAACTTGGGCCTCGTTATCAGTGTTCCTTTCAACATATTGGAATGGTTCTTGTATAGACACATTTGCAATGTTATCCTGAATGGTAGGAAGATCCATGCTAGTTCTGTGCCCTTCCCTAGCACCAAATTTAATCTGACACCATTTCATGAAGAGGAAGAATGCTCGAAATGTGTAATGGAGCAAGATGGTGAAGACTTTGCTAAGAAACACTACTAAGCCACCAACATAGGCAAAAACTGAAAACAAATGGAAACAAAGAAACCATTAAGATAACAGAAATATTCTGCCACAAGGGCAGTTGTTAAGGGTTGGCCTCAAATTTGAAAATTCACCAACTATTATTATCATGATAGAATGTTTTGGTCTCATCTGATTCAGCTACCATGTAGAAAAATTCACTCAGTCATAATTCAACTTCAATATTTGAAAAAAAATCAGTGTTAACCAATAGACTTTTAGCCAAGGCTTTTGAGGATGAGACTATCAAGTTTGTAAGGTTTACTCCCCCAATAAACTAGGATTATTATTTCACAATGAATTTTAAAATAGAAACCAAGCTATAATGAACAGTACTTACTACAGCTTTGGTAGACTTCTTCTAATTTTTTCAGTAGGTAATTTTTCATAATGTTCCCTGGTCTTGAACATTAGTTTGGAAATTTCAATACCTTATATTAAATTCAAGGCTCTTTATGTACCTTGGTAGGTATTTTAGAAGGGAAGAATAAGAACTTCTAAGTTGTAATACCTGTGAGAAAGACAAAGACACTGAGGTTGTAGTTGAAGATGCAGAAGGCTCCCTGAAAAATCAGAAACATACAAAGAACTAGTTATTCTAAGGTGCCCTCTGACTAATCCTTTCCAAAATGGAATCTTCTATTGTAGTTTTACAGAGGTTACTAGAAGAGGGAATACAAATGTGTGCTTCATATCATTCAGTCACACTTCACAGTGATGTAAAGATGAGGTTATGCGTTCTTCAAGTGGTAAAGGAGTGATTTTTCTCAGAAACAACAACAGTACAGGGTCGACCTCATCACCTCCAGAAGACTAGAAGTATGCAACTAAAACATTATGATCCACATCGGAAGTGACCACGTCATGAGACAAACAATTATATTTCTCTTTTGAACAGTATGCTGTTCATCTCACAGAGATCACCACCTTAGGAGATACGTTGCAAGAAAATGATGGAATGAGTTGAATTTTAATGTCAAATGTCCATTGTAAGGAGGTGGCTAGGCAACCTTAGAGACAGAACTCAGCTGTGAGGCAAAAGATGCTTCACAAAACAAGCTAAATAGAAAGAAGTATTTGTAGCCTTATGTCCCTAAGGGTGCTTGCCATGGAGGCAGTTTTCTCCAGAAGCACGAGCGCTACTTGTTTCTGAAGTACTGGCTAATTTAAATTAATAAGACACACAGTACAATGTCTGTCTCCATCTGAAATAAATTATGATCTTTGCTTTATTTTTGTAGATACCCTGAGGAGAGGAATTAAGACACCAGTTGTCTCGAGGTATTTGTTGTAGTCCCAATGAGGCTCAACAACAGGTTGTAAATACACTGCAGTAGTTTACTATTAAGTTCTTTCTTTACATCTTACCTGATCTTTTAGAACCCCCTGACAATGAAACATCTTGTGTTGTTCACTAACACAGCTTTTTAATCCATCTGGATCACAGCTATTACATGGAAAGCATTGTACCTAAATGTCAAAAAATATTGTGACTTAAAAGGTGGAGTATTGATGAAAGGGGGAAAATCAAGGCATCAGGCCATTTTGACAGAAGTGTGCCTTGCAAAGGTGTTGAGTAGTAGGTTAAGTGAAATGTTTAGTTTTCATTGGATTCAAGTGGTCCTTCATGGCAGAGCATAAAGTAGCTAGGAGTACAGCTTATTCCCCTGGCTGGGATGCCAGACCATCACAAAGTAAGCATTTCCCAATTACGTCAGCTTTAGAAACTCTTTACAGTGGCCAATCTAAATTGTCGACTTGGTCGATGAAACCAATTTATCTTGTTGTAACACCACCATTTCCCAATTACGTCAGCTTTAGAAACTCTTTACAGTGGCCAATCTAAATTGTCGACTTGGTTGATGAAACCAATTTATCTTGTTGTAACACCCCCCCCCCCCCCCCCCCCCAACGACACAGTATCAGAGTTTCTTTACAAGCTTACCCTCTTTCTGCTAAGCTTTGTGTTCTACTTACCATGGTGGTGCTCTGACATAATAGCAAAACTTCTTTGTAGTTTTTGAAGCAAGACCAAGATACATAGAGTTTGGAGAACCACATTATCAAACAGAAGTAGACAATCACAAACATTGCTGCAAAGTTGCAGAACACATGTATCTTCCCAAATGGTCGGATGGGAAGGGTGGACTGTAAAAAAAAAATTTGTTGGTAAAATCAATCAAATGATTTCGGTAAATGTGAAGATGTAGGTGTGGTATAGTCCCACTTTGCTATCAATAATTGTTGGGCAATAAAGAAAACCCAACAACCTCAACTTTATATTTTTATTGAAATTTAAGGTCATTTAGCAATGTTATTATTATTAATTTCTTGTAATTGTACTGGAGAATGTGAGAAAACAAAAACAGAATGGCAGGGCAGCATAAGAAAAATTTCTGTGATCATTAGCTATAATTCTTTCCTTCCCTGTTCTCCACCACCCCTAACACCACTCCTAACACCACTCCTAACGCCACCCCTAACAACACCCCTAACACCACTCATAAAGCCACCCCTAACATCACTCCTAAAGCCACCCCTAACACCACCCCTAACACCACTCCTAAAGCCACCCCTAACACCACTCCTAAAGCCACCCCTAACACCACCCATAATACCATGCCTAACACCACCCTCAACACCATCCCTAACACCACCTCCAACACACCACCCCAAATAACACCCCAACACCACCTGTAACTCTACTCCTAGTACCACCCCTAACACCTTCCCAAACACCACACCTAACACCACCCCCACCACCACCCCTAACAACACCCCAACACCACCCCTAACAGTACCTCTACTCCCTACTCCTTTTTTTCCCCTCAATGACCTTGGCTTACTCTCAATTGACAATTATGCCTCTCTGAGAGATGTTTGCTGTGCAAGTAGGAAAATACTCAGTAACCTCATTTTATAATCAGCTCATAAACTTTGACTAAATCCAAATGATCAAATACCTTAAATTTGAATGGCATCTTCTTTCTTGAGTAGAACAACACAACATATGTTGTTGTGAGAGCCAGTGAAAGTGTGAATACTTGGGTTTCAAGACCCCTCATTCTTGGTCTGTAATATCTAGAGGAAACAATTGAAAACAGATTCATATAGTTTTATAGCAACTCATTGCAAATTAGAAAACCTGGGCTTAAAATTCTAGGTTGTGTGCTTTCTGACACAAATTGGCATAAAGGCTTAACAACTTATGCCTGAGTCCAAGTTTTCCACAGGTAGGCCTTAAGAATGAAACCCTGTGAGGAAAAGATACCCATTTGACACATGCTGTTAAAATGCTCTTCACACACCTTTTAAATGACAAATTTCACAATATTCATCAACCCTTTTACTCACATGATTTCAATAATTGTTCTCTTTCCTGTCTGCCAAATAATACTTGCTAGTTTGGCAGTTAGAGTGTAACGATAAATCAAACCTAACCGATACTTTTCTTCCCATCACATGTCTGCTTACCATTGTATCGTTATTTTAACCCTCTAACTCCCATGAGTAACCAAGACAGAATTTCTCCTTACAAAATCAACAAAATATCAAGTGGACAAGTGATGAGAATAAAGAAAATATCAGTTAGGGGATAATGAGTTGATCCAATACCAAATTCTCCAAACTGACATCACAAGAACTGTGTGGCAGACAATTGGGAGAATTACTAATGAGATCCTGGGAGTTAATGGGATAAGGAAGAACCACTACCTGGTCACTTTTGGAGCTGAAACCATTATTGAATCATTTCTACTGATGATTACCTACCTCCAGTCAAACAGATCCGAGGCCCAGAAATTAACAAAGAAGAAACAAAGCAGTACAAGGGTGATACAAGCTGTTAAAATCCAGGACAAGCCTTTAAACTTTAACCACCAGCACACAACAAAATAGGACTGTAACCAAACACATAAACAAATGAGGAACAAATAAAGACAATCACAATTTAACTTTTAAATCAAAAGAATAAAGATATTACAATGAATACTAACTAATAGATTGAAACATAGAGAGCTGGCTTGTTTACACAGCAAATATATAATTTCACTCCCAGTCAACCTTGACACCCTTTTTAATTTTGATTAATCCTGTGATCTTTTAACTTACCAATAGCATAAAAAGGATTGGTAGATCCATGAGGCGAAGAGATTGCTAGAACAAACAAAAACATAAGACCTGATTTTAGTGTTAGGGTGCCCATGCGCTTTGCTTCAATCAATAATTTATTTGATTCTCACCATAAATGTACTTGATGATGTGTTGATAGTTTAAGGCGGGGGGGTGGTCAATAAGGTTACTAATTGTATGGTTATGCAGGATGCAAATGTCACAGAATTTCCATACTTAACAGTGTTTGCATCAGGCAATCTATGCATTTTGCACTTACCTCTGTATTGATATTCCTTGGATCAGTCTAAAAATTCATAAGAAACCCGTCATTCATATTCAACAAAACAATAAAAGGAATTAAGTTAATCTTTTGTTTCAAATTCAGTTACATTCCAATGTTTTCATGCTCGACAAAACTTACATAATTAAAAAAATTATAAAATAAAGTCTAAAATTAACATTCTTAACTCACATGAAATTGTTAAAAAGTATGTTGAGCTTGCATCAATCATGTTCGGGTCGGATCAAAGTCAAAAGAATGATCGTGATCAATCTAAAATATGCTTCGAGCACAATCTCTAAATGCCCAGTTTGTAAGTGAATAGATTGTGCTTTGCAGATCCAAATCAAACTTAAATTCATTCAAGAGAAATCAAGAGACTCTCAGAGCCTTTTTACCACAAACAGTCCTTTTGGCAAATCATTCCACGTAGCTGCATCGCCATAAGCATCGAAGTACGGTGGATTACGGATGAACTCAACAACTCCAGCCCACAAAAATCCCATTGCTATTAAAAAATGGACAACTTGAAGCGTATCAAAGAAATAATCCCTGAAAGTTCTCCTTCTTCTAAAGCCTGTTGCCAAAATCGGAGGCATCTTAGAGCCTGAACTTAACTTTTATAATTATTTCTCGAAGTTGATTGTGTCTTGCCGAACTAGGAAAACAACCCGCAGAGAGTATGTTATGACCACGGTGAACGGTGCGGGAAATCTGGGGACGAATGTTAAAGTAACGCTGTACGTGCGTGACGACATACCTGGAACAAATGATCAAGCGTCCGAAACACCTGAAACAAAACGCTAGCAATTTTAGGCAATTTCTTGCTATTTTTCGTTCTTTTAGGAAAGCTTTTTCGGCAATTTAGGTTTTTTCGATGATGAGTTCTTCCTCTTTGTAAGAAAAAAGGAACTTTGCGGGCTGGCTTCACCGCATGTGTCAGCTGTGACGCTGTGAGCGGAACGAGTCTTCCTGTTGACAATAACAACTCTTTTTTCTTACACAAAATGTGTCGAAGCCGACTTCAGTTGACGCTTGCAATTCTAAAACCAGATCTTATGATGCACCCAGTAAGAACTAAGGTAGGTTCACTGCCTCGAGGGTTTGATGTCGATATCTTGTTTGGTTGTACTCGGGGTGTTCCCGAGAAGAAATAATGCGGGCTCCACTGGAAAAATAGATCGAGGATAACCACCCACAACGGATGGAGAATAACTAGACAGCGAAAAAACCGCTGAATTCAGCTAAAAGGATGAACGTCAGATAGTAATCGGGTTGACAAGATTGTTCAAGGTTGTAAGATAGGGAACTGACTGGACTTTGAATTTGTTTAGGAATAAGGAAGAGTAGTGTCCACAAAACCAAAGAGGTGCTAGACTGGGTGATCGTTTGTTTACTTATTCCTATGTAATTCCAAGTGAATCTTTAATCCTCTAACCTCGGAATATTCAGGGTGGATTTGGATTTAAGAAGTTTTGATGCAAATTTATTTAATTTGAATTAAATAGCGTTTGGAATCTTTGGTTGAGTACTCATAAAACTCCTAGTTAAAGAAGATACTAATGATCTGCATTTCTGTATTCTGACTTGTTGCCATAAGTTTTGGATATGTTGTGAAGGCCATTTTTGGCATCATAAAATAGTTTCAAAATTTGATGACTGTTCCTAAAAGCCCTAGGGTTAAGCTGAGGATTTAGCATTTTTTGTTTTTACCACCCATGACAGGAGGTAAAGAACATCATAAAGAACAGTGGATTTCTTGTAATCCAATCCAAAGTTACCTCTCTCAGTCTTCAAGATGCAGAGAAGTTTTATGAGGAGCATAGGGGTGAGTAGTTCTCATGTTCTTTAGAAGGGGCACTGGCATCCCTGTATTGAATATTCGTTAGGATTAGGTTAAAAGCACCCTGCGAAGCTGTAAAGTACATAATCCAAAAAAGGTTGTGGGGTTAGACAATTTATGGGGTCTAGTTTGGTTTGAAGACATTGGCGACAAATTTCTGTAGAGATATCTAGAAGACTGACACAGAACTTTCATTTTTAGTCTCCATTGTGCTAGTCTACAAGCAGTCTGTCCTTTTCTGCAAAGTCTGTCATGGGAAAAGGAGGGACTGCTCAGAGTCTACCATTCTAGCCAGTCTCTGAGATAGCAATTTGTATCATACCCTAAAGAACTTCTGCAATGGAGACTAGCCTGATGTTTGCACTTACAAGGGTAGCACTATCAGGTAGTTCATTAGTAACTCTTAGATAAATAGACATTATGATATTATAGATATTTTAGGACCCCCTTCCAAAATTTAGTCAATTTACAGGTAAGTTTTGTGGGGGAAGTCTTGAGGAAAGGTGTTCATGAAGCAAATGGAGTAAAGTTGTTGTTTTGTTATTTCCTCAGAGCGGTTTTTCTTCAGTAGGTTAACTGGATACATGAGCAGGTAATTGATGTATTTACCAAGTAAGCTATCTATCAGTATCTATGCAAAAGAGTCCTTCCTTGTATTGAAAAAAAATTGGAGTCTGGAAGCACCTTCCACCTCTTTTTCTTTGAAATATATAGAAATATTGTGTACAAATCTTTTTTCAATGCAAAATAGATTTATAGGAATTCCTTATGCAAGAAAATAAAGGACACATGTCTTCTTATAAGACGTTGAGATTTCCATTTTAAATCTTAGAGTTGATTAACATGGAACTTCTCATGACAATATCAATATATGATCCAGCAAAAGGGTGATGAGCATAGGGACATTAATCCTCCACCAATGTTACTCCAAAGTCTCTTCACTATTTTACAAGGAAATGTATAGAAACTAGAGGAGAGAATTGATTAAGAGATCATTGAGTCAAATATTTTATATAAAAAAAGTAAATCACTGCTTCTGTAAAGCGTTCCAAACAAAGACCTCTCTCTCCCCAATACTGCAAAATATACCAGCCAACAGTGACATTAATTTATTCTGTGTTTAAACATCATAAGTCTCAAATAAGAAGGATGATAATTGTTTTTAGTAAATAACTAAAGTATCAGAGCATGGAATCCGAAAGTGTGGATATTTGATTCCTCGTGTGGGACTTATGGATTTTTTAGTGTCCTCCCCATATGGTGAAACAAATAATATATTTTTTTTACTCTTAATCAAACCTAAAAAAGCGTCTGAGTTTTTCCCCTAAGTTTTTTGAGCTTGAGCTCTTTAAACTGAAGCTGTGTATTCAAACAAACCATTAGTCATTGTGAATAACGTTTCTCCTTCTTCTCTCAGTGGCCTAATGACAGCCATGATTCTTGCTAAAGCAAACGGTATCGCTCACTGGCGGGAACTGATGGGTCCCACCAAGACTTACAGGTATCATATGGACTACGACGTGTTCGTTGCATCTTAAAAAAATTATGGCCTTTAGGTCTTTTACTTTTACCCAACATCCTGTTTCGATCTTTCTCATCCTTAGCCATTCTTTCCCGTTCTTTGTTTGTTATCGCCCCTTATGTGTTTCCTTTGTTACCGAATTGATATTTTGCAGTCTCCTTCAAATTGAAGATATATTTGCCCGTAGCGAAAAATTACTGAAAATATCATGGCGTGCATTTTAAGTGGTGCAGTCCTGTCGCGTTTCCAGTCCGTAGTTAGGGGTGCAACGACTTTTACGCAATTACACACGTTTGCATCTCCTAAAATCTAATTACCGCTTCCGTTCAATTAAGCGCCCGACCTCGAATAAGCGGTCACCCTGTAAATAAGCGCCCAGCCTCGAATATTTTTATTTAGCATATTTTTTTTGTTGGGCTCGGCCTTTGATAAGTTCCTTACGCTTGTTTGGCGCTCTGAAAATAGTCTGACTGAACTTTTTTCTTTCCTTCAGAGCAAGAGATATCGCTCCAACAAGTATCCGAGCTTTGTACGGAATAAGCGACACGAGGAATGCTACTCACGGCTCAGGTAAATTTCCGTTTCTTTAACTGAAGACAAATGGGGAGATCTTTTGTGGAAAAAGTTATTTTCAACTCCTAAGAGCACTCTTTTGAAGAATGATTCCAAGATAAGCTTATCCCAGACCCTGTAACCCTCTGAGGTGATTATTTGATCAGTGATTTCTTCAAACCCGTCGTCCTGTTGTTAGGCAAGTTGCTTGGGCTATACGTTGCCTAGGGAAACATCCCCCAAAGGCGTGGTTAAGATGTAAAGGTAGGTGTAAAAACAATCTCGCTTCCCCATCAAATTTCTAGTTACCGTCCTCCCTGCCTCCCAGTGGAAAATATCGCTAACTTACTTTCTCCTAGTAATGGCTTGGTTTTGTATAGGATAAAAATGTTATCGCAACGTTAACGCATGGCTGTTGCAACAAGTAGGACTGGAATCCACTTACTGCAAAGCATGCGTCGATACCAATTTTGCGTGGTCAATCATTTCATGAGGTGTTACAATAGGAATATTTTTCATGCAAAGGGTGTTGCAACGACATTATGTGCCAAGTTGTGGAAGCTACTGTCTTTAATACCCTTCCCACTTCTTAGCTTCTCCTCGCCTCAGTGCACTCTTTGATTGATTGTCGTTTGACTTAAACCGAAGCCGTCGCAGCTGGTAATCAGATCAAAAAAAATATCGCAATAAACCAATCAAAACTTAAAATAAAATGAAACAGTTGTATCTGATTGTTGAGAGAGTGACGCGAGTTTTCTAGACCAATCACAGAGCATTGTGTCACGGGTTACAGGCTTTCGTGATTGACGTTCACGGCACTAAATATCACGTGGCTTTCTCATAGACTCTGATGAATCCGCTAAGAGAGAAATCGGCTTTTTCTTTCCCACTTTTGACTGCGAAAACTGGTATAAAACGTACGAGCCACTTTACCGCGAGAACAGACAATCACTGGCTTGGGATAACGAACGTGGTATTCATTACGTTCCTCAATGAACAATCCTGATGGCAGAGGACAAGTAAGGACGCGAAATGAGATTACAGTATTGGCGGAGAAGAAAGAAAAAAAAAAGGAAAGAAAAAAGAAAGAATGAAAGAAAGAAAGGAACTCTGGGCCGGAGATTTTCCTGAAAGTATGACGCATGAGTGTGGTGCATCACAAAGTTGTCACAAGTTGGCGGAACTTCTCAAACTGGCACACAAATTAATGTCCAATTGGTTTTTACTTACCTACAGATATTTATTTCACGAGTATTTATTTGCATGTACATATTAAAACCAAAGCTTGAGTGTTGAGTAATATTGTCTGGTTAATCATTTATCACAGACCTTTTGGAACTTTGAAGAAAAGGAAGTGTACCTCCAACATGCGCGTGTCTTCAAGTTACTTAGTAACCATAATGATGTTACTAGGCCGGGTCTCTCTCTTTTAGTAATAACCACGTGACACGAAAAGGAAACTTTATGAAGCTATTATTTTCCAATCGGAATTTAAACGCAGGATGAGAAATATTTTCCTAGTGAGTAACGACTAGCAAATGATGTGCCCAACAAAATTCTAATAGGGTTTAAGGTTATGAATTCATCCAATCCTTGCTGCATTTTATCTCTATCGGCGCGCGTCTTTGGCCCATTTTCCCGCAAATTTCCATGATATGATTCCAAATTCTCCCTTTAACTATCACAAGTTTCTCTGTACATAAGTTCTGAGAGTTTGTTAGTAAATCTAGATAACAACCTTAAACTTCTTAGGTTGTCTCTTATCATAACCTGTTTATTAGAGGATGAATATTTATTTCAAGGATTATTTCTTGCCGGTTCTGAAAGTTGATATGCCTCTTTGCTTCGTAGACCGAGACAGGCCGAATGGTTTGCACATTAAACTCTGGGTTGAAAGTTACTAGGTCGAGGGGTGTGGGTGGGTGTCATTTCATTGTATCCTGTTGATGAGGAGACACGAGGGTTTCACAGTCTCTTTCTCTCTCTCTCTCCACTCATGAAGGAAACTGGGTACCAGTTAACTATCAGAAAAACTCGACTGAATGTTGGGGTGCTAGCTGCGAAGGATCAGCACCCTATGCTCGCAGAATAAGCGTAATCACTGTAGCTTGATGCTACAAAATCAAGATCATCTCGGTAATCTGACAGCACTGCGAGTCAATATTTTTTTTATCTTTACTCTCGTGATCATTTTTAAATGGGTGCTCTCAAATTTCATCCGTACTTGATATTCCGCAAGACCCTTAGAGCAAGCGCAAAGCGGATAACCTACTGACTCTAGTCTGTCTCAGTTATCAATACCCCCGGGACTTTTGGTTACCCCGAGGCCTCAATCCTGACCCTGTTTAAGAAAAAATCCGTCCATTTCGCGACCCTGTCAAGACAGTAACCCAAAGCATATACACCACAGGAAGTCAAGTCTAACTTAATTTTTTAAATTAGATTTTGAAAAAATAGTTAGAATCGTGCACGAAGAACGCGCATTACCAAAATCACGCAGCGATCAAGGTTACCGCTCTAGAAAACTGCCTGGTGAGGCATTGAAAAGTAATACTGCATACCCTCCTAGGACTCAAGACCCCTTAACCTTACCTTTTTCGGCGTTACACACTCGTTTAGGCTAAATCTAGGAGAGCACCCTCTTCCCCACCCCTCCCTTACCCGGATCAAAACTGATATATTCCTTTGCTTTGCCAAGACTGTGAGAATGTCACGGGATTTTGACCCAGTGCCCTTGTAAGTTGACAACAAGGCTCGTTTTAGATAAAAAGAATTCCATACTTCTGCTATCGTTACACCACATCCGGTTCACCAGTTGTGCAGGTTTCCTGTCGTACTCATCCAAAAAGTCTTTTTTCGGCTAATCGCTCCGTCACACGCTGATACGAAGCTAAGATACACGCATGCCTTTTCTAAGTTATATTTCAATATTTTGTTCACAAACATTAAGGTAAGAATAGCCATTGTTCGGTTTAGCGGCGCACATCAAGGTGAGCGAGTTTTGAAACAGCACTTGTTTAGGCTTGACCCGACAAACTAGACATTTGATCGTCATATTGCAGTCGCCAACAAGCACATCCTTGTTATATAACAATAAAGCTGTGTTGGACAGTCATCGATTTTCGTCCAACTACGAAGTCAGTTAAACTTTCAACAAGCTAGTACTTTCTTACTTCAAGTTCGTATGAGGAACAAGAACGTGATTTGCCCATTATACGTCAAACTACGTCACCATTGGCTCGATTTTTGCTCCTGCTGCACATTGTATTTCGCTTCTTTGCTCAATATCTTGTTTATTTTTGGTTGTGATGACGTTATCATCATAACATGATATTAGCCTGCGTGTCGGCTTTCTTCGTTCTCGACAGGTAAAGCAAAAGAACATGATGAGTTAAGGAGGATTGAAAGATGACTCCAGAGTAGATTTGAGTGTGGTATAAGCTCAAGTTCTTCGCGCACGTAGATGGAAGCTCGCGCGGTTTAAGTGCAATAAGCCGCGTTCGAAATCACAGCTGAAACCAGTACGTGGGACGACCGTTTATGTAGGATCATTAAACTCCGTTGCATTGTCATGTGATGCGTTTGAGAAAGCTTTGTAACTAGAGTTTTCGGTGGGCAAGGCTCTCCACGATTTGGACTTTTCCCATTTTTAAACTCACACCGCGCAATGTCGGCATTCTTTTACATAATTGCTACAAGTATCTTCGGAGTGGCTGTCCGACCTTGCGGTCATTTTGCCATTTAGATGGAGGGAGGAGGGGGTATTCTATTTTCTAAGCGTTTTGGTTTTATCAATTATTTCAATATGCCTGTTGGTATTTTTGTTTTAGAGAAATTGACTTCTAAGTATGATGGGAAAACAAATCATATTCAGTTAAGTTTTGGTTCGAGTTAAGGTCTAGACAAGACGAACCCACCCCCTCTCCCGCACGCGCATGGCACGCGAGGTCACAAGTGGGCATCGAACGCGGCCAAGTATAGTTCGTGGGCGTTTCAACTTTCACGAGCCGGCTTAATCGCGTTTAATTTACAAGGCATTTAAATTCGTCTGAAAGACCGCTTGTTGTATTGACCTATATGGCTGCATTCCTTCAAGAATTTATTTTATTTTCACCGCTTTTTATGAGAACTTAAATGATCGGGATCCATAAGAAGCTATTAAAACTTACTTGGAGCGAAAATAGAACTTTCTCTTTAGACAACAAAGTCCCGGTGAAACACTGTAAACGGCCCGCGTGTTATTTTTCATGTAGGCTTGTGTTTTCAAAACAATCCCGATATTCTGCGGATAACATTACTATGAAATTACCTGTCTTTATTTAATCCGGCCAGATGTAGGATCGAGCTAACTGGGGACTTATTTCGATCTAAAGAAAAACTGCGGTTTCGTAGGACCATTTGATGTCTTTTTCTTAAAGCTTAATGGCTAATGAAAGACCTCCTCGAAGTGTAGCACGTATTTTTGTACTCAATGAAGAACAACAACGGCTAATACAGTTAATAAAGTGACCTAGCTTCAGCTTGGTATGATGAAAATTTGGAGAATCTCTAAGTATGTTCATATAATGACCGAGGTTGTTTTTTCAACATAAGTTTAGAAAATATTGTACATGTTTGCCGATGAGTTCACACTCGGTTTTACAAGTCAATTATCAAGTTTTATTTCTATGTGAACTTTATGTCTTAAAGTTATCTTTTATGAACGGTTTTGTTCCCAAACCACATTTATAACGAACTGATTCATCATTACAATAGCTTTTGAGTAACAAATTTTCCCCCCAGGAGCAAATTTCGTCTTCAGACCATGTTAAACGGCTGTGTGATATCGCGCAGAGGTTTTTAATGTAATGAAAATTTGTCCTCGGACTGCGAAAGATAAGTCAAATGCGGGGCACACTAAATCATTTTCATTGCTTAGTGCAGCTGATCTGATTCAAACCTCGTTCGTGGACTTTCAAAGCGTTTGACAGATCTTTATTTTTTCAAATTACACTCTTAAACAAATGCTGTTTGCTTGGTGGCTTCAGCGCTGTTTATGGCGTTGTCCGGAAAGGCCGAATTCTCGTCGAGATATCTCAGGCTAATATTTCATGCTTTTTAAGAAGATTATAAGATAGGGAAATCACTATGATACGAAGTTTGTTCGATTTCAAGCTCACAATTATAATTATAAATTATTTGAGTTTGACATGAAGGTATTGCCTCAGGCATGATGTCTCTGTTTTCTCAAACTTCTATGTCGGAAAAATTAGCGAAGTCTGTAAAATCCGAAAAATCGCAGTCATGGTACAAAATAAAGGTGTTCGAATTCGTGTGCATATTTGCAAGCATCCTTTGAAAAAGCTACATTGAAAAGCAGCATAACCTTAACCCAGTCTTTGCTACCAAAAGCCATTTCCGATCAGAAACCTGAAAGACATTTATGGAGACATCATGTGAACATCATAATATCCAAATTAATAAAACAGTCTTCAAGGAAAAATTATTGCCTTAAAAACTGTTCCTCTTAAGTACTGTGTAGGCCGCGTATAAATTAAAACTTGGACAAGTTTAAAGTTTTAAGTATCTTAGTATGCTCACGGAAGTTTCATATTTAGATGTCTTCTTGCCGTATTAGAAATTTTTCTAGAATTTAATTTTTTAGGAACAGCTCCACGATTAGCTTTACAGATTTATAAAATCGGTAATAATAAGTAACGTATGTTATAAATTTTCTTCTATCTAAATGTACGTTTAACTTAAAAGAGCTCAGTGTTTTTCATCCCACATTTAAGCAGTAAACGAAACGAGAGAAGCGTTTCTGGAACTCAGAGTCAATTTATATTTGGTTAAAATCTAATTTGAAGATCGAAACTTAATTTCAAATAGCTTAAATTTAGTTCTGTGGAGGAAAAGCATATTCCTTGTTTGTCTCGGCGTGATTTATTCAAGGTTTTTCCTTTTTTTTTGACGGAAGAGGACATATGCACTTCCTATCTGACAAAATTTTTAAAAGCTAATATTGTCTCGATGGTGTTTAACCCAATTTACTTTACGAAAACCAACTGGAAAGTTTGTTGTGAAATAATTTATATATTACAACGTCTCTAAGGTACAGGAAATTTAGGTTTGTTCGAAATCTTCAGCAGAGCTTTCACCGAAAAAGCAAGAAAATTTTCGTTTATAACTTCTCATCAAAAGTCATGTTATGAATATCAACATGGTTGAAAACGGAACAAGGAAGATTTTGTTCATCATCATGTGGTGTTTCAATTTCTCCTTTGATATGGACTATGACAACGAGACGACACAAGCGTGATTGTTATTGATTTAGTTAAAGCAATTTTTCATGTTGTTTTCTCTCTCGTGCGATACTGAGAGTTTGTCAAATGCTCTTCCAGATTTTTCGTTTAAGCAGCTGCGAAAGGGTTTACAGATTGGGAAATAGGATTATTTACATTTGTGAGAACTGACCTTTACGGGCCAATTTAGAAGGAATTTATGTAAAATATCACAATATTGAGCTGTGATACTGTTCTTATTTCGGAACGTGACAAGAACCATTTATTTTGAATTTACACGATCATAACAATTCATGATATAGAAACATGAATACTGCAATAACCAGTCTGAAAATGTCTTACTTTTCATGGCCTCGGCACGCTTCCAATCAGCTTCAGTTCGTTTTAAAGCCTTTCAGTTTTGCAACATTTAACGCCCATATGCCAAAAAGCAGCGATTTACCTTGCAAGTTGGGAACCTTTTGTGAAAATGCTCGCATTAGTTGTTAAGCTGACAAATTTAAATGTTATTTGCATATGTCAACTTTATTGTTTTTAATTAGACAAGACAATGAGCTCTTTTCTGGTCGTATATTGATTTGAATTTGGTATTTTCACGTTTTCTCGTTGTTAAATTTTAGCTTTTCAGTTCTGCTTTGTCGCAAAAGAGAGAAATTTTATAGGATTTTCCTGTGTTTCTTACTAGGAAGTTCATGGGATATGGGCTTGAGCCTAAATTACTTTCAAGAAAAATTTGACAAATGCAATGACAGCATGGTCAGTTGACAGTCCGAGTGAAAGCAGTGAACGTTTACATTTACACACGAATTTTCAAAACTAGTCAGTTGGTCGCTTGCTCAACTGTGAACCAAAGTCATTGTGCAAAATTAATGTAAAGAGCAAAAAACACTACTTCAAAATATGAATCTCTCTCAAAGATCAATGTTGGCTGTCAAAATTGAGTCGAGTGGCAAAACCATACGTCTGGCTTCATAGGTTGAACACTAAGTTATAAGATGCGATGAAAAAAAGGTTTTCAGGTGCGTCAAGTGGATGGAACTATAACATAAATTTCTTCAGTAACTGAGAAATAAAATCGAATCCCACTCTACTTGTCGAAAATGATTTTTGACCCCTAAGCCGATTTTTTTTCTTCGTGCCTTTTCGATCGTAAGTGAAAAGTAGCCAATTGTTCTGTATTTTTATCTAAAACCATAACCGTATTATGATATATATCTCAGTATTGGCTTTGAACTAGTTTTAAGTTGAACGAGAGCTCCCAGAGTGAGAGAAAGTGGGATTTTTGAAAAGTGTTGCTGTCTCCAAGAAACCAAATTTTGCACATCACAACATAATTGTTCCAGTCGTCTTGAACGGAACAAAAGAATTGTTATGCTTTATTAATATAAGCTTCTAATAGTTTTACAGACACATTTTTGGCGAGTAAAATTCTTTTCCGATATTTTTCCGAGCACAGTTGTTTCACTTAATTTTCGCTTGACAGCATTTCAGTCAGATTTTACGTAAAGGATATCAGAAGCTATCGGGTACTCCTTATATCATGTTTCTTGGCTCATCATCGTCACTCTGCGTCAATCATATGCTAACCAACTAACTACTAGAGCCTTCTTTGATCTGTTTCACCACTAAGGGTTTTCTTTGGCTATCACCTCTTAACCCTTATCTCAAAGGAAATGTGGAAATTTTGTAGTCATCACTGAAACCGCTCTTAGGGCCGCTTATGAAGGATAGCAATATTCTCATCTTTCTTTATGAAAACTTGATAGTTGAAGTGGAATTGTTTATGAAAGATCACTTGTAAATTCTTTTGTTTCTTTGTCTCCAAACAGACCTGCTCTCTCACACAGCTCTACCTGTAGACGATAAAATTCGATTTTCAGTGAAATAAATCGCAATATCTATCTACACAAATACTTAAAGTATACAGCACGCTGTCTGAGGACTTTTCGCCAGTTGACAAGAAACCCTCTCGAGAATCAAGTTCACCAAAACTCTATCGTGAATGAAATTGCGTAAATCGATCTAAACACACCAGCCGTTTTACACTTTTTTCAGCTGCTTTGACAGGTTGTTTTTATAGGGCTTTAGAATGCCCGGAACAAATGTGTAAGGAGTGAAATAGAACCTTTAATCAAACAAAAATAATAAAAATGAAATATGCCCACAAGAACCCAGAAAATCTCTCTCAAGACTGAAGTTTAATCTCTGTTTTGAAGGAAAGATCAGCAAATAGCGTTACCTTAGTCAGGTTGACGTTCACTAAAAAATTCTGGTGGTCTGTCAAAAATCCTACTGAGATTCTCACCCGGATGTGGCGAGAGTTTCCGTTTTAATAAATCCCTTAAAAAATATTTACACGTTGGTCATGTAATAATAAGTCTTCAGAGGTAATTTTTCTCCTTTTATAGGACTCTCTTTTTCTTTACCGGAAAAGAAGTCATGTGCTCCTGGTTTCTAATCTTCAGTGAAGACTATCCAATAAATAGATCTGCAAATTTGATCTTGTTGTCAGATTAAATGTCTTTTCAAAATTTACATGAATATAGCTTTATTCAGTTCTCTGTTTTCCAGAGAGTTTCTGGGTGATTACTGAAAGATGTGATTGCGATATTCCGGTGTGATAAGGAGAGGGCCTCAGATACTGATCGCTAATATAAGCCGTGAGGCTTTACATATCGCAGACAGGGTATATACGGGAACCAGTGGAACATTACACTTGAGGATTAAATGACGAAATTACCACTAAACAAAACACGCTCAAGAGACTACAACACAACAAGGGCTTAGGTGAAGAATTCGAGTTTTAATTTCAGAGTATGCGTCAAAGCCGGCTTGACTGAGCCGCAACAGAAAATTGGAAACAAATGACAAATTAATTTCAGAAGCGGGTTGTTCTCTTTCAAGTCTCCGGCGGGGAGTTCGCCGATTTGACACACTCCGTCTGTCATAACGTCAGTTCAGAATTCTATTTACACAGCGTTTGGCAAAACAATGAACGCATCTACATAATCTCTGACTTGTTAAATTTCGCGATACTTGTGTTCTAATCTGCAGACAACCGACGCGCGCAAAACACGGATCGACTCCTAATGATCGCGCGCGCGAGGCGTTCGAATGGCTCGAATGGCAAAACCGAGAGCGGACCAAACGCGTCTTGCAAGTGAAACTATTATTCGATCGCAGGTAACGCAACAAGTCAGGTCGCTCCCAGCCAACGATCTATTATTCATTACAATGTACAAAGGATTCCCAGGTACAATGCCACAACACAAAGTCTACATGCGATATAAATTTCAAATTGCCTCAAAGTTAGCATGACAAAGAAGCTACCTTTTGAAAGCAATTTTTACCCTGTTTACGAAATTCGTCCATGTTTAACGCGACCTCCACTAATAAATTGATACTACTGAAAGCATCCAGAGTTTGTGCAGTGTGATGTTCATTTGCCGGCATTTCACTGTCGCAGTCCTCCGGTTGTCCTTGCGATGAAGGACTACTACACCCCACGTATTCGAACTGTCCTCGATACTCGCAGATATAAGACTCCTGATCGTGCCTAGTAAAGTCTTTTTCGAAGAGTGGCTCGGGACTAGGCGATAAATTTCGTTGATACAAGCTGTTAGGCGACGAATTTTTGACATTCGCTCTTCGCGTGATGGTATAATTGCTAGGGTCGCGTCCTTCACGTCGAATCATCTCCGGCAGTATTCGCCTACGCGCGTTGATGAACCAGTTGCAAACTTGAAGCACTGACAAGTTGGCAGCTTTTGATAGGTACTGTTTCTCTGCCTCCGAAGGGTATGCATTAAATCTGTGCTCCCATAGCCACATCCGCAAAACATTGACGGAATCTTTCGGAAGGTTCCCTCTTCTTCTCTTGGGCGGTGGGCTAGCTGTGACACGTGATGCGCGAAGCACCCTTTCACTTTCTTCTCTCATATTTTCCACGTTCTCATCCACTGCGGGAGAGGATAATGAATTGTTAGAAACATTGTAAAGAAAAGCACGAGTTTCTAACCGGTCAGGGTTTGAGAGTCAAGCGACTGACATGGGATAAACGCGACTGTGCGAGTGTTGTAGCAAGACATGTATTGATCTTATGAACTACTTCAACTGTCATCGGCAGCGAACGGACATTGAAATCACGAGACATGTCTAGTCTAGTAATAGTTATTCCCTCCGTGCAAAAAATACTATAATCGTGTTTTAAACATTTGGTAAGCTTTAGATACGAAGAGAAAATGATATTCCAATCAACACTTTCCCCCGACAAACATGAAGTCAACACTGTCAAAAGCACAACTCATTCATTCAGAGAGGCGTTGCGCACTTGGATGGTTTACTTGCAAAATGACATTCATTTAAACCGGCTTCCGTAACTTACGGTAACGCTTGTTTCTCGTCGCCTTGCCCGTATGGGGAGCCATGTCTTTTCGGTGAAACAAGTCCCAATGTTGTCCAAGGTTTACACGGAATAGGTTCAAGGCGTAGAATTTGAAGCAAGCAGTGTTTGCGAAACCTGCAACAGCGAAGAGACTTTGACACTAATGACAGATGAAAGCGTGTGTGCAGCAGTGCGTTGCCTTGTGTTTGTGTAATTTACAATATAATAACGGCACGCGATTGGTTCAGAGTGACAATCTATTTAAATTGCGCTCAAATTTCATTGGTTCCTGTGGACAACTGGGAAAATTTTCCACGTGGAACCAAGATAGACGGTGATTTTATTTACTTCAGGTTTCAGAACCTAACACCAATTTTGACTGCCCTTTCGCAAGTCTATTATCAAAGGTTTGTTTCATTTCACCAAAACAAACATAAGAGATCTCTAAGCTTGAACGAAAATGAAATTTTCGTTGTAAATGAAGCATCTCGGTCACAATCGGTTTACCATGATTGGCCAGAGAACCCTTACTTTAGAGGGTTCGCTTTCCAATCTTCTATATTGGAATAGATAGATATTCAGTTTTTGAAAATTAAGAAACGGCTGTGGGCTATTATATTCTAACTAAAACCAAATTAGAAACCGCAGGGATAAGTTGTTAGAAAGTTCAGTGAAGGGTAAAGGACAAAACAAGGTCTGTAAAAGTTTGTTTTGACTTCAAGCTAGTTTACTGATTTGAATTTCGGGTTTTTTTCCTTTCGAGGACACTTTTTATCGCGGTTGTTTTTTGCCTGAAATAGCATAAGTATCTAATTCCTTCTAAGGTTACCGGAGTTACTCTCGTCACATCGACGCATGTATTGTTCCAATTTGAAAGCCGCATTCTCTGAGTTCTAATATTGTTTGGGAACAATGCAGCTCAGTCATCCCTGTATCAAGATTGGAATAAAGAATCTACGAGCTGTCAAACGCTGAATAAACACGAGCTTGTCAAATTAAGCGATGGGAAAAGAATTATAGGAATAACATCGTTTTAGTTTCCTGATCACACATTAGATTTCCTTTTTGCCTCTATGGTTTCAAGATAAAACAGCCTATTTGGATGTGATATTCGGGCGGACGAGCCTATTCCAATAGAATATAGCACCCCGCAGGCTATGTCATTACCAGCGTCACTAAGGAACCACCTACGCACTACGTTTGAGCCTCTCTAAACTTGCTATGCATTTAACTTGGGTCACTTAAAAATATAGTTCAAAGATCTCAAATCTCGGCCATAAAAACAATCTATGGGCTTATTTTTTCCTGCGTGAATACAATATAGGGTACTTTGAGTTTAAGTTGGCTTAGATCCTTCTTTCTCTTTCCAATTCCAAGCGACCGAAAGTTCCATGAACAATGGCAATTAAAATTTCACTTGTTACTAGCTAATAAAGCGACCTATTATCCAAAAACCGAGATCTTTAGCCTCTTCACTATGAAATTCAATGTCTGGTATTTTTATGCGACTTTTGTTAAAGGTCTGAAAGGTCTTAAAAAGCGAATCGTTTTCCGCGAGAAATTGCTGCTTTAGAAGTGTTAATTGTTCTTCTGAAATCCGTTGGAATACATTTCACCTGTCAGTCGACTAAGTGAGTCGGTAAAAAAAATAATAATCCGGAGAAAAATATTCCAGAATAAAATAGATAAATTTAGCCTATTACCAAACGCTGAAAATAGGAAATTTCACTAGCATCTGTAGGGAAAGACTTGAATTTCGAATCAACTGCTCTGTTTTCGTCTTACAAGTTGGTTTCAGTCGATACGGTAGGTACCAGAAGGAACAAAATCAAAACACTAGGTTGCAATTTACATCTCATTGAACGCCCTGACTTGTAAATGGTCGCAAATGTTTGTTTTAAAAAGGTAGTCATATCACGGAAAGAAATTAAGGAAACGAAATTGAAATTTTAATTTTCCATCCTAATTTCGGCGTGTGAACTCAAATTCTCGGTGTCTAGGAGAAAGCTGAAGTTGAGTATTGTTCTTGAGATCGAAATTTACTCAGTTGTGTTTGCGAAAGACTGAGACAATCCAAACTACTTTATGAAAAAAGCAATTGCCCTGATAATGTTAAGAGCATTTTTGTAGGCGGATAAAAGCGGAACTTGGATAGTAATTTTTGAGCCTTACAATTCCACGATCCTAAGTTTTTTTTCTTCGCCACAAAAAAAAATTGAAAATTTGACAGGAGAAACTGAGCCTGCAGTAAATGTTATGGTACAGCGGTCAAATTTAAAATGATATGCGTCGAAGTCATTACGCAGTAACAAACATGGCGGCAAAGTCTGAAAAGCCATGTGAGTTGACACTCGATTTACAACCAATTTCTCCCGATGAAGACAGCTCAGGAAGCTGTGAAAGGTAAATTTGCAAAAGAAATGTTATATTTCTATGGTTTTTCTGTATTCTTATCTTCCCATTCGATTTCTGATAGTATTAATGGAGCGCCACCTCAGACTCCCAGTTCTCCTTCGAAAGCCAAACCCGATAATGTTGTATTCCGTCAGTCAAACAGGACTATTTATACCGCAGGTAAGTTTTGAATTGTTCTTTACGCGATACTCGATCAACCAATCCAGAAATAAAGGAAACTTAAACGCCATTTTGGCAGCTGTTGAGAAAAGCTATGGCGAGCTGGTTCGTAACGCCATCGATCTGCCCAATCCGATCCAATGTGCTCACTGTAAATCTAGCGAGTGGTTCCTTTTGACTCCTACCGCTTTCTGTTAATGCTTATTTATATTTTGTTTAATGTTACTTGTTTGCTTACGAAAGTTTTCAATCTAAACTCCAAAGAGCAACTTGTACTTACCTTAAAACTTCTTAGACGATCAACGAAAGTTTGGAGATCTTGCATACTGTTGTTAGTATTAGTAGCTACTGCAAACGCTTTTCTCGTGTGCGTACACGGTTAATTTATTGCAAATACCCTAAATTAATTCATATTATGTAAAGGTTTTTTAGGTTTTATCTTTCTTTTGTCTTGAGTCGTGTGAATGTCATGTGCTACAGATTAGATTTTGTCATATGCTTGAAAATGTTCAGAGCCATAAATAAGTCTTAATCAACCATGTGTCATCCACAAACACCTTGCAATAATTTAACTTGAATTATGGTATCAATAGGCAGATGCTACTTGGGTGTTCTTAAAGGATCAGAGATTGGAGAATTTTCTGAGCTCTGTGCGAAATTCTTGGGCTTAATTTCCATGTTCTGAGTTATTCCTTATTCACACCTGGTTACTTTCTTAGTGTTGATTCACAGAACTCTTTTGTTACTAGATATTTTAATCCTTTACACTCTAGCATTATATTTTTTATGGTACTGACAAGGAGAATTTGTGAGACAACCAGGAGCTTCCTAAATTTGTGATCTTCATTTATTTCCTTTATTCTAATGACCGTAATGTTTGGATTGAAGGATGGTACTGAAGGGAGAAATTCAAAGCCAGTCACTCTTGGGGAACCATGTGTTATACTTCATAAGCATATGATCCCCTTGCCTCGGATGTGAAGCTTGCAAACGTTGTGAGTCCTTGCATACCATAGCCTGTGACTATCACCATCATACCATCAGTGTACCTGTATATAAATCATTTCTCAGACTTTAAGCTCACCCTAAAAGTTCTTTTCTAATGTGCTGTATTTCATACTAGCGGCCAATGTTGCACCTCATGCTGTGACCATTTTATTTGCAAGGGCAAGTGGAAGCAGAAGTTTTTTTGAGTTAAAGTCTCTAATTTCACAAACTTTGTTTGGCAGTTGTATAAGAAAGGGATATCTTTTTATTACTTTATAACTATGGTCTAAAGTTAAAGTTACTTCAATATATACATGGAGTTTTACTGATGCTTTTTCATTTTATTTTCATCTCCTAAAAATAGCAAATGAGATTTTCAGTAGTGTTGGCAACAGTATTAAAGTACATCTTGTAATATTGAACAAAGTGTCCTCCTCTGGTTTTCCCTAGTGACAAAAATGTTATTTTTGGCTATTGCTTATTGATTTAAGTTTACTCAAAAGTGAATATAATATTTAAGCCCAGTGTCCTGTTATGCCTTTGTATACTTTGACTGGTAAGAATTATATCACACAAGCCAAATAAAGGATAACTGGGGGAATTTTGCAAAGATAGATAATTTTACATGGTTTGTTACAGTACTCCATGTAATTACATTACTCTCAGTACTATGTGAGCATTTCCATTGAATAAGGCCTTAAACACGCTATCTCTTAACTCACTTCATTATACTTTGATATTTGAATTATTATATTATATTTTGTCAAGCATAAAATAGCTGTTTATTTCTTGGGTCAGAGTAATGAACGCTGAAAGATGATGCAACTGTGTGACATATACTAGCTATTTTTGGCATAACAAAGTGATCTGTTTATTTTAAGAAGTGTCAAATTCTTGGCAAACTACCTGTAGCATTAGATTTCAGGTATGAGTAGCTTCTTCCCTTTGAAAGCTCAATGATATTTCTTCGTCAAATTTGTGATTTCAAGCTTAATTCATAGGTTACCTCTAAAGATTATCCTAGTTTGATGGAAGTTTTTCAGACACCTGTTATAAACAAATATTTCCCCTTTTGCATGACAATTACCAGCTGTTCAAATTTAGCACTGAGTAATTAAGCTCATTAGCTACTTTACACTCATACATATTATTCAGAGTGACTCAGATAAATTTGCATTAAATTTGAACAAACAGATAGTTTTTGAGACACTCCCTTGGTATTGGGTGATGAACCTCTTTCTCGTCAAATTTTTGATTTTATATAGAAAGTTAAAAAATGATTAAAGTCATAAGTAATTGATGGATGGATTCCAATAAGGTTTTCAACTAGCAACAAAATCTTAGATCTATAGGCTCAACATCCAAATAATTGCTCAATGAATATTGAGGGAGATGTAGCTACCTATTAGTCAATGCACTAGACTCCAGATTGAGAGGTTCATGTTTGAGATCTGGCCGGGTCATTGTGTTATACTCTTGGTCAAGACACTTCACATGCACAGTACCTCTCTCCACCCTACTAGGGAAGCCCTACAAAATTCAGGGAGGTAACCTGCAATAGATTGACATCTCCACCTGGGAAGGGGCAAAACTCCTAGTCACTTTATGCTACAGAAGCCAGGCTCCAGCTGGATGGCCACTGGGCCCAAGCCAAATGTTTTGCAGAACATAATGATTGTATTGCAACTCTGAAAGAAAAAAAGAAAGCAAAAACAACAACAACAACAAAAATAGGCCAACAAGAACAATTACCAACTGTACATAGCTTTAAAAAAAAAACAAAACAAAAAAGAAATGTTTGAAAAAAAAAGCAGCAAACAAAATAAATGGGTTAAAAAAGGAACAAAAAATGTTGCATCTTACCTGATTTTCCAAAGCCTGCCTTCAGGTTTTGAGTAAGGGTGCTAAACTTAGAGAAAGGTGTTTTCTGTCTTGTCTTGAGTGTGGGACAAAAAAAAATTCTGGAGTCTGTCTGAAGAATCAAACCTCAGACCTTCAGATTATGCACTCCAATGCTCTACCAATGAGCCACAGAGACTGTACAGTGAGCTAGGCCATCACGAAGTTCATATATTAACCTTGGGTGGTAACCTTATTGCTATCTTGTTTGTAAAGTGATTTGGCATGTGAGCAAAAGTGTTGAATGGAAAACAAAAAATTAAGGGATGAAAAATGTGCATCTGTTATCTTATTTTCTCTTAGGTCGCCCTCCATGGTACAACCTCCAAGGACAGCTTAAAGAACCATTTGTCATAGGTAAAGTTGTTGCAGTTGTAAATTTTATGTTGCAGAAATTTCTCCAACCTCATCCTCATACACTTGTCTTGGACAAAAGCATGACAAAGAAACTTGCAAAATTTTACATCAAAATTGTGGATATTGGGGTAAACAAATGGACAAAGTACATGCATTTGAATTTCAAGCTGAAAGGAAGCCAGGCTTACAAAAATGCTTAACCCTCTAACTCCCAAGATCTGATCATTAATTCTTCCCTCCAGTTGCTACACATTTCCTTCAGTTGTGAATTAGTTCTGAGAAGTTGGTGTTGTATTAAGACAACAACTTCAACCTGATAAGTTTGAGAATTCTCATAACCCTTTTGTGGTATAATGTATGGATATGATAAGGAGAAGTTACATGTTAATCGCTTCTTGGAGTTGAAGGGTTAAGATAGAGAATAGCTAGTTTACTGTAATTGTAACTAAATTTGATATGATTGGCAGATCTCTTTCAAAGTTATATTACTAGTGGCTGTTTAATGATATAGCCATAGGCATCCTTTTTTCCCAATGCTACATTTTTGTAAATTTGACCATAGCAATCTTGAATATCAGGTTTGTGTGGTGGTAGTGCTTCGGGAAAAACCACTGTTGCCAACAAGATCATTGAACAACTTGGAGTTCCATGGGTCAGCATGCTCTCACTTGATTCCTTCTATAAGGTGAGCTGTAAGGATTGCAAAATTGGTAGAACACAGAGGTTGCATAAGATTCATAGTAAATTTCCAGTGTGGAGTGGGTTTCAAATCTAAAACCTTTTATAGAAGTAGCTGGGGAACTTTTTGAAGTATTTCTGTGTCATTAATTAAGCTTAAAAGCATCAAGAATCATTGGCCAAGATAGATTTACTAAATTGTTGCAGGTACTGACTCCAGAACAACATAAGGCAGCACTAAGGAACGAGTACAACTTTGATCATCCAGGTAAGGTTGATGAAAGAAGGATTGTGTTATGGTCATACCCAAATGAGTACCTTCTTCAAAGTTTTCTTTAGCAGGTTGGTCAGGTTGAAAGGTCTGGGTGTCAGCTGGGTCATTGTGTCATCTTCCAGTGCAAGTTGCTTTACTTTCATGGTACCTTTTTTCTTTAGGAAATTGTCAGAATGGATTCCTGGGTGTTTACCTTTAATGTAATTAATGTAGAAAATTGAGGATTAGAAGTAGTGCTCCAAGGCACTTCATGTAATTATAACTGGGATATTAGCTCTGGCAGTAATGAGTCAGCAGCTGACAAGACAGCAGCAAGGTTCAGGAAATGCATGCATGCAGAACTGCAGAATGAATCTTGCCAAAAGCAATGCAACCCTAACTCTTTATTGGGTTGCTTTGGTGTATGATGAAGATGAGATTATGGAGACTGTCAGAATTGTTATGAGTTTTGGTTTTCTTAAATTATGTTTGCATTACAGAACTGTTAGTT